TTGCAATTTTTTGGATCTTGTTGGATCATTTTGGAGTATAGATATGTATTAATAATAATACTATACTATATAATATGTACTATGATATATATAATAGTAATATTGCCATGTTGGATCATTTTGGATCATTTTGGATCATTTTGGATCATTTTGGATCATTTTGGATCATTTTGGATCATTATGATATATGATATATGTATTATATGGTATGAAATTGTGTGAAAATACTATCATATGAAATTATAATATTTATGATATATATGATATATTAATATTACTATATTTGTTCGCTTATGGTATGAAATTCTGTGGCCTATGCCGAGGTCTCTGTTTGGCCTGTTTGGATGGAAATTTCTGGACAGCCGGAAGTGTGCTTCACATGGCTACCCTGCTGCTTCAAGCTACGATAGGCTAGGTGCCCAATATATAATATTATATATAACTAATATAATATATGATATATGATATATATATATATATTAATAGTACTATTTATTATTAATGATTATTGTTAGCATTGCTATTATTTTTACTATTATCATCATTATAATATATATACACACCAATTCCATTCCATAGCTATGGATTCAAATGCCCTCGGCCGCTGAAAATTGTCGCTTGGGATCCAGGTGACCGAAAAAGCTGCACTGGCACAAAGACAAGCAGCTGACCAGGTCCGGACTCTTTGAGCGAAAAGTCCCAGAGTTCCAAGATGTTGAAAGAAAAGAGGATTCTAAGAGGAGGAAATGACATGTTTTGTTCTACGGTTTTTCTACGGTTTTTCCAACAATCAAACAGATCACCAAACATGTGAATCATGTGATATGGGGACAAACAATGATGATCAATGATGAACATCCATGAATCTCATTGAATCTCAGCCATTTTGAGGATATTTTGAGGTTACCCAGGAAAATTCCCACATTTTTGACCCATAGCCGCCATAGCCATGATGCTTTTGAGACGGCGAAATTTGGCCAAGGCCACTATGGCCTTGGCCGAGAGCATGATGAACATGGCGGATGACATGGAAAGAGTGCTGCTTGGCGGAGGAATCAGCTTAAATATTCTAAGTACACATGTATATAAACATACATAATTATATACATATGTATACATATGTATATATATACATATACACCTGTATAGATACATATGTATATATATATTGATATCATGTGTGTATAGATATCGAATATACTTCACATACAGTTCTGTTTATATATATATACACAATAAACTCTGTATATGTATATATACATGTATATATATATATGAATATATATATATATTCATATATATATACATGTATATATACATATGTATCTATATTCATATGATACTGGTATCATATGTGTGTATAGATATCGAATATATATATATATATCACATATAATTTCATAAATCTAATATAAATATAATATAAATAAGCAATATATATATATATACATATGTATATATATACACATATGTGTATATATATATATATACACACCGTATATACCTGCAGAGAATCTTATAGAATGAGTACTCTGAGCGTGTGTTGTTTCTTGGTGTTGGATCCATGTTTATCGAATGATCAATCAATAGACCTTGGATTTCCACTCAGGAAGCAGCTCGCCACCCGCGACGTTGACGAGTGCAACGAGTGTGACACTGACGAGGAGCTCGACTCCCGGGAAGCGGAAGCCAATCTTCCAGCTGTCGCCACTGCCATCGCCGAGTCGCCAGGGTCGCCAGGGTCGCCAGGGTTGCCAGGGTCGCCAGGGGACAGGGGGTCCGGTGTCATGAAGGAAGCCAAGGAAGGCCTTGTGCGGACTGGGCTGATGGCACTGGAAGCACAGAGTGACGATGAGTTGTTGGGCCTCGCTCCCCGGTCTCAACCAACTCGTCGCCAAAACAAAACATGGCAACTTGAGGAGGCCAGGAAGGGAACTTTGATTCTGACTGTTTCATGATTTGGCATCTGAAGAGGCCACTGGGGCGGCAGATACGATTGCAAAACCATCCATACTTGGTTTTGAGTTTTGATTGGTTTCGCAACTGAAGCTGAACTAACAATTGAATCCAATACGACTCGAGGAGGCAATGGTTTGTTGCTCTTTTTGGATCCGCTTGACTATTCACTGCATTTTGAGAAGCCTCACTTTTTGCGGGGCCAGGAATCAGTGTGTCAGTCATGTTCCGTAGGAAAAGATAGAAGAAGATAGAAGAGCAGCCGAAGAGGCCTCGATCAGTCTGACTACCACTTAGGTCTAACTACAACTGACTGTGCACACATGAATTTGATAGATTCTCATAGATTCTCAAGAGTTGCATAGATCCCAGAAATGCAGGGTTGCTACACAGGCACTGCAAGCCCATTTGGAAGAGCGCAGACAAATGGCAGAGGATGAGGTCATGGAATGCCATGGATTGCTTGACCCCTGTCTTTTGCTTCAAGCCTCCTGTGGCGGTGAAACAATGTGTCAGACAGGGGAAATCAATCGTTTTTTGATGTTTGATTCGTTTTGCATATTTGTTTAGTCGCAGATCTTGATGTCAATCGACAGCTTTTGAACTGCAAAGGCGGCTTTAGCAGAAGCAAGAAGAGCAGCAGATCAGGTCAGAATTCAGGAGTCCAGAACATCGACAAAAACCTGGTCGCTATTCAAACAGAGATGCAAGAAGCGGGTTTTGTGCTTCAATCACACCACAATTTTATACAATTTTGACGTATTTGGATGTATTTTGAACATAATCACAACGGCATAAAATGGCATGTAGATTTTTCCTGGCACTTCAGAGGGTTGCGTAGCATCCAGAGGCAATGAAGGTGTACGTGAAGGAAGAGCGCAGAAGAATCGCGGAGGCTGAGGTGGGTTTCGATATGTTTCGATGCTCCGAAAGGATCAAAATGTCCACGGAATATGACATCGAATAGCCATCCCATAGGATCCATGTATGCTATATATAGTAACATTTGCCATCAATATACCCCCAATGTTAGTATATATACCATACATGGATCCTATGGGCATGGAATTTCCATGGAATTTCCATCGAATCGCCTCGCCTCTCAGAGTCCAGTCGTCGCCAAGTCGCAAGGCATGGCCATGCATGGCCTAGGGCTAATCCACTCGGTTTTTTCAAGCGCCAAGACAAGCGCCAAGAGAAATCCACTTCGTGTTTCTTTATGAAAAGCCTTCAACGGTAAGTGAAAATACTGCAACGGACTGAATGTAAGGCGGTAAGATTGACTTGTGATTTGGAAAGGCAGCACTCTCAGAAGCAAGAAGGGCAGCATTACAGGCCCTACCAGACTTCAACACAGGGCTGGATCACATTTAGACTTGATACAGGGATCAGGTGTTGGTGACAACTGGTGGGCATGACGCGTTTTTCTCAATGTCAACGTGCTGTTTTCATGTTGAGACCTCTGATTTGGCTCGCCTTACAAAGCCATTGCATGAGGCGCAATTAGAAGAGCGGCGAATAGAGGAGGCAAGTTGACTTTCACATCATCAGATGGCTATCCTATAATAGAGATGGAGGTGGGCTGTCACCCCACCGCCCACATGTTACAACTGATACGAGAGTAAAAATCCTATTGTGATTGAAGCATCTTCCACAATGCCTGTGGCCATTGATTGCATTTGGAATACATGGCACGGTGTCACCACATGTGGCAGAAAATTGTTTGTGCAACACACCGCTTAGTACTGTATCAGGCTAGAGTGGAAAGAGAGAGCAGCGAAGAGGCATTTTGGAATCCTTTGCAGGCTGGAAACCAAAGGGTGATTTCGTTGCATAGAGCAGAAAGAATGGTTGATGAGGTATGAACGCTTTGTTTCATCGACAATGATCGACAATGTCTTCACTCTGCAAAGCTTCACGTTGTTCATATTTGGCAATTGCAAATCTGCAATATGTCGCAGCATGTGCCGACGTTTTTATTGATGCATAGGAGATGAAAACTAGGTCAGTCTTGGCATACCATCGGTCCGTCGGGATGTAGAGCAGTTTTACAGATCGCTGTATCGCTGAAGTTTCCTGCATCCGATCGTATGACATTTGTTAACCGTTAGTATGTCTAGACCGCGTGAGATTAAAAAAAACGAGGAGTCAGCATGCCAGAGAAAGATCATGAAAGATCAGGATTTGACGTGTCCTTTCGGGCAGAGCGCTAGGCAAGAATTTGTAGCCAGCATAGCTTTCAAGAGGTCTAAAATCCAATTCTCTGGTAGAATTCGGTAGAATCATTTATGTGTGCATATGCATAGCTGGGTTTGTGCCATTTGTATCCATTTGTCGTCACACTTTTTACTGTCAACGGAAAACTGCAATGCAAACGCGTTTTTTGTTGCCATTATTGCTTGGGACCTTGGTTTCGCGCACTGTGGAGGCACAACTGGAAGAAGAACGGAAAAGATTCGCACAGGAGGCCCCATTGCTGTCTGAGTTTTTGCAGGAGGAAGTGAGGAGATGTCCAGGCATCTGACAAAGTCGTACCTGTTTTAGGAAAAAAATGTTGTGCCTTGGGGAAGTGTGTTTCACAAAAGTCGTGCCTTTAGCAAGAACGCATAGGAACTCTGGAGTTTGGATATGTAACCCGTTTTCTTATGAGATCACGTAGCTGATCACTTTAGCATGCAGAATTCCAGGTTGTGGGTATGTTGATTAGTTATAGGTAAGATGCGGTGAGCTGGTGATTTGATGATGTTGGATGTTTGTCCCAGATTATCCTGTTTTTCCCGAATGCGTAGCGAAGGGTTCCCGTTTATAGTTTGTAGTTAGTGCGTGAAACAATGGCTGCAAAGTGCCTGGAAGAGATTGGAAGAGTATTTTTCAGAAAATTATAAATATGTAAAAGGCGCAAGTACCATAGTATGAAGGAGAAAGACTACATCGATTTGCTTTGATCGACACTGAAGTGCTTAAAAGAAGTCGAGCTTGAGCCTGTGCGATGGTGAGTGCTGCATGCTGGAAGGCTGCACGAGAACAAGCAAGAAGAGCTACAGAAGAGGTGCTGCTGCCCGGATCGAATCTCCAACTTTGGGGAATTTACGTGAATTTACGTGTTTGTGCTGATAGCCACATGGCATCCTGTGGGCATATGCTAGCAATGAAAAACACAATTAAAATGGCTCCGGCATCCGGTGCAAAGTCTTATTTCTGTTCGAACTGCAAGACTGTGCAAATGCAAGTCACAATATTTCACCAGCGTTCCGCAGAACATGTTTTTTGTAGGTTTTGTTTTTACAGATTGCGGTGTCCTTTTCTTGCATCAGTTTCTGTGATTTTGCAGTGGAAAGCTGCAGTTTCGGCATGCATTCTGGAGGCACGACTGGAAGAAGAAAGGAGAAGACTGGCAGAGGAGGTTGGGCAGGGATCAGGGTGTGGGCTAGTAACTGACTGCCAGTGACCACTGCAGATTGGCCCCAAGTAAAGGATTGTTTGAATTGTGGTGCCAAGGGGTTAACCGAATTCGGTTGTTTTCAGTTTTGAGCCCATGGATTTTGATTGTTTTTGGGAGGTTGACGATTTTGACCCATATGCTAAGAGTATAAGAATGTTGGCAACATTTGGCAACGGAAAAATCAACATCTTATGCTATTTATAGTGTATGAAAGGGGGTCCGCCCCACAGTTTCTGAAAGCGACCCTGCTAAACTGCCATTGGGCCATCAACATGTTTTGGAAAGTCCGCACCTGATTTGGTCTTGACTGGAAAGACCAGATGCCGTCGGACCAGCTTGAGATGCCCTGGATTCTGAATACTGCATTTTCTGAGGCGGCACAAGAAGAAGCACGAAGGATTGCGGAAGAGGTGCTCCAACAGGGGTTTGGAACCAGAATCTAAAAGATTGTGGGCATCTCATGCGAGACCTGAAACCTTCAATCAACAAAGGCAACCCATCAAGCCCATAAAGCCATAGTCTCATAGTACTATAGATATCTATAGATACTATTGTAGAAACTCATCCTAGCATAATGATGCGTAATGTAGCATTAGAGGTCCAAGCAACATGGTCCTTGAGCCCCCTATATAGTTTCTTTGGATGCCCTACCATGTCGCTCTATCCGTCGCTTGCGTTAGTTGCTGTGTTTTTGTACTTGAATCGCTTTCTTCAAGGAAAGACTGGAAGAAGAACGGAAAAGATTGGCAGAGGAGGAGGCGCGGTTGCTTTCCGACTTCTGCCTACAGGGCCTACAGCAGATGTGTCATGGTGGGATGACGTCTCTGAGTTTTAGCAGGAGTGGAGAGATGTAGCGCATGAAAGAATGGCTGCAAAGTGCCTGGAAGAGATTGCAAGAGTATGTAAGATCAAGTGCAAGTGCCATATTGTGAAGTAGAAGTAGTAGAAGGACTACATCGATTTGCTTTGTTAGGCACTGAAGTGTTTAAAAGAAGTCGAGCTTGAGCCTGTGCGATGGTGAGTGCTGCATGTTGGAAGGCTGCACGAGAACAAGCAAGAAGAGCTGCAGAAGAGGTGCTGCTGCCTGGATCGAATCTCCAACTTTGGGGAATTTACGTGAATTTACGTGTTTGTGCTGATAGCCACATGGGCATATGCTAGCAACGAAAAACACAATTAAAATGACAACGGCATCCGGTGCAAGGTCTCATTTCCGTTCGAACTGCAAGACTGTGCAAATGCAAGAACATGTTTTTTGTAGTTTTTTTTACAGATTGCGGTGTCCTTTTCTTGCATCAGTTTCTGTGATTTTGCAGTGGAAAGCTGCAGTTTCGGCATGCATTCTGGAGGCACGACTGGAAGAAGAAAGGAGAAGACTGGCAGAGGAGGTTGGGCAAGGATCAGGGTGTGGGTTAGCAATTGGCAGCCAGTGACCACTGCAGATTGGCCCCAAGTAAAAGATTGTTCTTATTGTGGTGCCAAGGAATCAACCAAATTTGGTCGCTTTTAGTTTCAATTTTCAATAATTCATCGACGTTGATTCATTTTGGGGGTTGACGATTTTGACCCAGATGCACATCAGGCTGCATAAGAATACGTATGTAAAAAAAATGCAAGGGAAAATCAGGATCTGTTATTTGTAGTGCTTCCTCTGAGGCGGCACAAGAAGAAGCACGAAGGATTGCGGAAGAGGTGCTCCAAAGGGGGTTGGAACCAGAATCTAAAAGATTGTGGGCATCTCATGCGAGACCTGAAACCTTCAACCAAGCAAAGGCAGCCCATAAAGCCATTGTCTCATAGTACTATAATAGAAGCTCGTCCTAGCATGTTGTAGCATCAGAGGTCCAAGCCACATGAGCAGGAAAGACTGGAAGAAGAACGCAAAAGATTGGCAGAGGAGGAGGCGCGGTTGCTTTCCGACTACTGCCTACAGGGCCTACAGCAGATGTGTCATGGTGGGGTGACGTCCCTGAGTTTTAGCAGGAGTGGAGAGATGTAGCGCATGAAAGAATGGCTGCAAAGTGCCTGGAAGAGATTGCAAGAGTATGTAAGATCAAGTGCAAGTGCCATATTGTGAAGTAGAAGTATATTAGGAGAAGGACTACATCGATTTGCTTTGTTCGGCACTGAAGTGTTTAAAAGAAGTCGAGCTTGAGCCTGTGCGATGGTGAGTGCTGCATGTTGGAAGGCTGCACGAGAACAAGCAAGAAGAGCTGCAGAAGAGGTGCTGCTGCAGGGATCGAATCTCCAACTTTGGGGAATTTACATGAATTTACGTGTTTGTGCTGATAGCCACATGGCATCCTGTGATATCCTGCGGGCATATGCTAGCAACGAAAAACACAATTAAAATAACTCCGGCATCCGGTGCAAGGTCTCATTTCTGTTCGAACTGCAAGACTGTGCAAATGCAAGTCACAATATTTCACCAGCGTTCCGCAGAACATGTTTTTTGTAGTTTTTTTTTTACAGATTGCGGTCTCCTTTTCTTGTATCAGTTTCATTCAGTTTCTGTGATTTTGCAGTGAAAGAGTTCCGGCATGCATTCTGGAGGCACGACTGGAAGAAGAAAGGAGAAGACTGGCAGAGGAGGAGGTTGGGCAGGTATCAGGGTGTGGGCTAGTAACTGACTGCCAGTGACCACTGCAGATTGGCCCCAAGTAAAGGATTGTTTGAATTGTGGTGCCAAGGGCTTAACCGAATTCGGTTGTTTTCTGGATTTTGATTGTTTTTGGGAAGTTGATGATTTTGACCCATATGCTAAGAGTATAAGAATGTTGGCAACATTTGGCAACGGAAAAATCGACATCTTATGCTATTTATAGTGTATGAAAGGGGGTCCGCCCCACAGTTTCTGAAAGCGACCCTGCTAAACTGCCATTGGGCCATCAACATGTTTTGGAAAGTCCGCACCTGATTTGGTATTGACTGGAAAGACCAGATGCCGTCGGATCAGCTTGAGATGCCCTGGATTCTGAATACTGCATTTTCTGAGGCCGCACAAGAAGAAGCACGAAGGATTGCGGAAGAGGTGCTCCAACAGGGGGTTGGAACCAGAATCTAAAAGATTGTGGGCATCTCATGCGAGACCTGAAACCTTCAATCAACAAAGGCAACCCATAAAGCCCATAAAGCCCATAAAGCCATAGTCTCATAGTACTATAGATATCTATAGATACTATTGTAGAAACTCATCCTAGCGTAATGTAGCATTAGAGGTCCAAGCAACATGGTCCCTGAGCCCCCTATATAATATAGTTTCTTTGGATGCCCTGCCATGTCGCTCTATCCGTCGCTTGCGTTATTTGCTGTGTTTTTGTACTTGAATCGCTTTCTTCAAGGAAAGACTGGAAGAAGAACGGAAAAGATTGGCAGAGGAGGAGGCGCGGTTGCTTTCCGACTTCTGCCTACAGGGCCTACAGCAGATGTGTCATGGTGGGATGACGTCTCTGAGTTTTAGCAGGAGTGGAGAGATGTAGCGCATGAAAGAATGGCTGCAAAGTGCCTGGAAGAGACTGCAAGAGTATGTAAGATCAAGTGCAAGTGCCCATATTGTGAGGTAGAAGTAGCAGAAGGACTACATCGATTTGCTTTGTTCGGCACTGAAGTGTTTAAAAGAAGTCGAGCTTGAGCCTGTGCGATGGTGAGTGCTGCATGTTGGAAGGCTGCACGAGAACAAGCAAGAAGAGCTGCTGAAGAGGTGCTGCTGCAGGGATCGAATCTTCAACTTTGGGGAATTTACATGAATTTACGTGTTTGTGCTGATAGCCACATGGCATCCTGTGATATCCTGTGGGCATATGCTAGCAACGAAAAACACAATTAAAATGACTCCGGCATCCGGCGCAAGGTCTCATTTCTGTTCGAACGCAAGGTCTCATTTCTGTTCGAACTGCAAGACTGTGCAAATGCAAGTCGCAATATTTCACCAGCGTTCCGCAGAACATGTTTTTTGTAGTTTTTTTTTACAGATTGCGGTGTCCTTTTCTTGCATCAGTTTCTGTGATTTTGCAGTGGAAAGCTGCAGTTTCGGCATGCATTCTGGAGGCACGACTGGAAGAAGAAAGGAGAAGACTGGCAGAGGAGGTTGGGCAGGGATCAGGGTGTGGGCTAGTAACTGACTGCCAGTGACCACTGCAGATTGGCCCCAAGTAAAGGATTGTTTGAATTGTGGTGCCAAGGGGTTAACCGAATTCGGTTGTTTTCAGTTTTGAGCCCATGGATTTTGATTGTTTTTGGGAAGTTGATGATTTTGACCCATCTGCTAAGAGTATAAGAATGTTGGCAACATTTGGCAACGGAAAAATCGACATCTTGTGCTATTTATAGTGTATGAAAGGGGGTCCGCCCCACAGTTTCTGAAAGCGACCCTGCTAAACTGCCATTGGGCCATCAACATGTTTTGGAAAGTCCGCACCTGATTTGGTCTTGACTGGAAAGACCAGATGCCGTCGGACCAGCTTGAGATGCCCTGGATTCTGAATACTGCATTTTCTGAGGCGGCACAAGAAGAAGCACGAAGGATTGCGGAAGAGGTGCTCCAACAGGGGGTTGGAACCAGAATCTAAAAGATTGTGGGCATCTCATGCGAGACCTGAAACCTTCAATCAACAAAGGCAACCCATAAAGCCCATAAAGCCCATAAAGCCATAGTCTCATAGTACTATAGATATCTATAGATACTATTGTAGAAACTCATCCTAGCGTAATGTAGCATTAGAGGTCCAAGCAACATGGTCCCTGAGCCCCCTATATAGTTTCTTTGGATGCCGTGCCATCCATGTCGCTCTATCCGTCGCTTGCGTTAGTTGCTGTGTTTTTGTACTTGAATCGCTTTCTTCAAGGAAAGACTGGAAGAAGAACGGAAAAGATTGGCAGAGGAGGAGGCGCGGTTGCTTTCCGACTTCTGCCTAGAGGGCCTACAGCAGATGTGTCATGGTGGGGTGACGTCCCTGAGTTTTAGCAGGAGTGGGGAGATGTAGCGCATGAAAGATTTAGATCAAGTGCAAGTGCCATATTGTGAAGTAGAAGTAGTAGAAGGACTACATCGATTTGCTTTGTTCGGCACTGCAGTGTTTAAAAGAAGTCGAGCTTGAGCCTGTGCGATGGTGAGTGCTGCATGTTGGAAGGCTGCACGAGAACAAGCAAGAAGAGCTGCAGAAGAGGTGCTGCTGCCTGGATCGAATCTCCAACTTTGGGGAATTTACATGAATTTACGTGTTTGTGCTGATAGCCACATGGCATCCTGTGATATCCTGTGGGCATATGCTAGCAATGAAAAACACAATTAAAATGACTCCGGCATCCGGTGCAAGGTCTCATTTCTGTTCGAACTGCAAGACTGTGCAAATGCAAGTCACAATATTTCACCAGCGTTCCGCAGAACATGTTTTTCCCCACCTGCCAGGTGAGGGTTGTTAGATTTTATGTCAGTTGCCTCCTCCTTCTCCTCCTCCTCCTCCGCCTCCTCCGCCTCCTCCTGCCTCGTCCTCCTCCTCCTCGTCCTCCTTGTCATCCTTGTCGTCCTTGTCGTCCTCGTCGTCCTCGTCGTCCTTGCTCAACTGCGACCCGCGATCCACAGTGTTCTCTGCCGGACCTCAACCACGACCACCCACGCCCAGTGCTCCCTGCCGGACCTCAACCACGACCATCCACGCCCAGTGTTCCCTGCCGGACCTCAACCACGACCATCCACGCCCATTGTTCCCTGCCGGACCTCAACCACGACCATCCGCGCCCAGTGTTCCCTGCCGGACCTCAACCACGACCATCCGCGCCCAGTGTTCCCTGCCGGACCTCAGGTAGGAAGATAAAATGGTTCAGATAGAATGCCAAATAGAAGGCCAGATAGAATGCCAGAAGATATGTCAGAATATATGCCAGAAGATATGCCAGATAGAATGCCAGATAATATGCCAGAAGATATGCCAGATAGAATGCCAGATAGAATGCCAGAAGATTTGCCAGATAGAATGCCAGAAAATATGCCAGAAAGTATGCCAGATAGAATGGCAATAGATTGTCAGAAGAATGTCAGAATATATGCCAGAAGATATGCCAGATAGAATGCCAAATAGAATGTCAGACGATATGTCAGTAGAATGCCAGAAGATATGCGATTAGAATGACCAGAAGATTGCAGATAGATGCCAGAAGACCTGCCAGAAGATATGCCCAGAAGAATGCCAAATAGAAGGTTCAGAAGAAAGAGATATGTCAGATAGAATTGCCGAAGATTATGCCAGATAGAATGCAGAAGATTTGCAGATAGAATGCCAGAAGAGATATTGTAAGATAGAAGCCGAAGATGTGCAGTAAGAAAATGTATAAATGTCAGGTGGGGATCAAACGAAGTAAAGTAATGGTTAGTTTTTTTTACAGAGATTCGGTGTTTCCTTTTCTTGCATCAGGGCTAGTAACTGACTGCCAGTGACCACTGCAGATTGGCCCCAAGTAAAGGATTGTTTGAATTGTGGTGCCAAGGAATCAACCAAATTTGGTCGCTTTTAGTTTCAATTTTCAATAGTCCATCGACGTTGATTCATTTTGGGGGTTGACGATTTTGACCCAGATGCACATCAGGCTGCATAAGAATACGTATGTAAAAAAAATGCAAGGGAATCAAGGGAAAATCAGGATCTGTTATTTGTAGTGCTTCCTCTGAGGCGGCACAAGAAGAAGCACGAAGGATTGCGGAAGAGGTGCTCCAACAGGGGGTTGGAACCAGAATCTAAAAGATTGTGGGCATCTCATGCGAGACCTGAAACCTTCAATCAACAAAGGCAACCCATAAAGCCATTGTCTCATAGTACTATAATAGAAGCTCGTCCTAGCATGTTGTAGCATCAGAGGTCCAAGCCACATGAGCAGGAAAGACTGGAAGAAGAACGCAAAAGATTGGCAGAGGAGGAGGCGCGGTTGCTTTCGCACTACTGCCTACAGGGCCTACAGCAGATGTGTCATGGTGGGGTGACGTCCCTGAGTTTTAGCAGGAGTGGAGAGATGTAGCGCATGAAAGAATGGCAGCAAAGTGCCTGGAAGAAACTGCAAGAGTATGTAAGATCAAGTGCAAGTGCCCATATTGTGAAGTAGAAGTAGTAGAAGGACTACATCGATTTGCTTTGTTCGGCACTGAAGTGTTTAAAAGAAGTCGAGCTTGAGCCTGTGCGATGGTGAGTGCTGCATGTTGGAAGGCTGGACGAGAACAAGCAATAAGAGCTGCAGAAGAGGTGCTGCTGCAGGGATCGAATCTCCAACTTTGGGGAATTTACGTGTTTGTGCTGATAGCCACATGGCATCCTGTGATATCCTGTGGGCATATGCTAGCAACGAAAAACACAATTAAAATGACTCCGGCATCCGGTGCAAGGTCTCATTTCTGTTCGAACTGCAAGACTGTGCAAATGCAAGTCACAATATTTCACCAGCGTTCCGCAGAACATGTTTTTTGTAGTTTTTTTTACAGATTGCGGTCTCCTTTTCTTGCATCAGTTTCTGTGATTTTGCAGTGGAAAGCTGCAGTTTCGGCATGCATTCTGGAGGCACGACTGGAAGAAGAAAGGAGAAGACTGGCAGAGGAGGTTGGGCAGGGATCAGGGTGTGGGCTAGTAGCTGGCAGCCAGTGACCACTGCAGATTGGCCCCAAGTAAAGGATTGTTTGAATTGTGGTGCCAAGGAATCAACCAAATTTGGTCGCTTTTAGTTTCAATTTTCAATAATCCATCGACGTTGATTCATTTTGGGGGTTGACGATTTTGACCCAGATGCACATCAGGCTGCATAAGAATACGTAGTTTAAAAAAATGCAAGGGAATCAAGGGAAAATCAGGATCTGTTATTTGTAGTGCTTCCTCTGAGGCGGCACAAGAAGAAGCACGAAGGATTGCGGAAGAGGTGCTCCAACAGGGGGTTGGAACCAGAATCTAAAAGATTGTGGGCATCTCATGCGAGACCTGAAACCTTCAATCAACAAAGGCAACCCATAAAGCCATTGTCTCATAGTATAATAGAAGCTCATCCTAGCATGTTGTAGCATCAGAGGTCCAAGCCACATGGACCCGAGCAGGAAAGACTGGAAGAAGAACGGAAAAGATTGGCAGAGGAGGAGGCGCGGTTGCTTTCGCACTACTGCCTACAGGGCCTACAGCAGATGTGTCATGGTGGGGTGACGTCCCTGAGTTTTAGCAGGAGTGGAGAGATGTAGCGCATGAAAGAATGGCAGCAAAGTGCCTGGAAGAAACTGCAAGAGTATGTAAGATCAAGTGCAAGTGCCCATATTGTGAAGTAGAAGTAGTAGAAGGACTACATCGATTTGCTTTGTTCGGCACTGAAGTGCTTAAAAGAAGTCGAGCTTGAGCCTGTGCGATGGTGAGTGCTGCATGTTGGAAGGCTGGACGAGAACAAGCAATAAGAGCTGCAGAAGAGGTGCTGCTGCAGGGATCGAATCTCCAACTTTGGGGAATTTACGTGTTTGTGCTGATAGCCACATGGCATCCTGTGATATCCTGTGGGCATATGCTAGCAACGAAAAACACAATTAAAATGACTCCGGCATCCGGTGCAAGGTCTCATTTCTGTTCGAACTGCAAGACTGTGCAAATGCAAGTCACAATATTTCACCAGCGTTCCGCAGAACATGTTTTTTTTAGTTTTTTTTACAGATTGCGGTCTCCTTTTCTTGCATCAGTTTCTGTGATTTTGCAGTGGAAAGCTGCAGTTTCAGCATGCATTCTGGAGGCACGACTGGAAGAAGAAAGGAGAAGACTGGCAGAGGAGGTTGGGCAGGGATCAGGGTGTGGGCTAGTAACTGGCAGCCAGTGACCACTGCAGATTGGCCCCAAGTAAAGGATTGTTTGAATTGTGGTGCCAAGGAATCAACCAAATTTGGTCGCTTTTAGTTTCAATTTTCAATAATCCATCGACGTTGATTCATTTTGGGGGTTGACGATTTTGACCCAGATGCACATCAGGCTGCATAAGAATACGTAGTTTAAAAAAAATGCAAGGGAATCAAGGGAAAATCAGGATCTGTTATTTGTAGTGCTTCCTCTGAGGCGGCACAAGAAGAAGCACGAAGGATTGCGGAAGAGGTGCTCCAACAGGGGGTTGGAACCAGAATCTAAAAGATTGTGGGCATCTCATGCGAGACCTGAAACCTTCAATCAACAAAGGCAACCCATAAAGCCATTGTCTCATAGTATAATAGAAGCTCGTCCTAGCATGTTGTAGCATCAGAGGTCCAAGCCACATGGACCCGAGCAGGAAAGACTGGAAGAAGAACGGAAAAGATTGGCAGAGGAGGAGGCGCGGTTGCTTTCGCACTACTGCCTACAGGGCCTACAGCAGATGTGTCATGGTGGGGTGACGTCCCTGAGTTTTAGCAGGAGTGGAGAGATGTAGCGCATGAAAGAATGGCAGCAAAGTGCCTGGAAGAAACTGCAAGAGTATGTAAGATCAAGTGCAAGTGCCCATATTGTGAAGTAGAAGTAGTAGAAGGACTACATCGATTTGCTTTGTTCGGCACTGAAGTGCTTAAAAGAAGTCGAGCTTGAGCCTGTGCGATGGTGAGTGCTGCATGTTGGAAGGCTGGACGAGAACAAGCAATAAGAGCTGCAGAAGAGGTGCTGCTGCAGGGATCGAATCTCCAACTTTGGGGAATTTACGTGTTTGTGCTGATAGCCACATGGCATCCTGTGATATCCTGTGGGCATATGCTAGCAACGAAAAACACAATTAAAATGACTCCGGCATCCGGTGCAAGGTCTCATTTCTGTTCGAACTGCAAGACTGTGCAAATGCAAGTCACAATATTTCACCAGCGTTCCGCAGAACATGTTTTTTTTAGTTTTTTTTACAGATTGCGGTCTCCTTTTCTTGCATCAGTTTCTGTGATTTTGCAGTGGAAAGCTGCAGTTTCAGCATGCATTCTGGAGGCACGACTGGAAGAAGAAAGGAGAAGACTGGCAGAGGAGGTTGGGCAGGGATCAGGGTGTGGGCTAGTAGCTGGCAGCCAGTGACCACTGCAGATTGGCCCCAAGTAAAGGATTGTTTGAATTGTGGTGCCAAGGAATCAACCAAATTTGGTCGCTTTTAGTTTCAATTTTCAATAATCCATCGACGTTGATTCATTTTGGGGGTTGACGATTTTGACCCAGATGCACATCAGGCTGCATAAGAATACGTAGTTTAAAAAAATGCAAGGGAATCAAGGGAAAATCAGGATCTGTTATTTGTAGTGCTTCCTCTGAGGCGGCACAAGAAGAAGCACGAAGGATTGCGGAAGAGGTGCTCCAACAGGGGGTTGGAACCAGAATCTAAAAGATTGCGGGCATCTCATGCGAGACCTGAAACCTTCAATCAACAAAGGCAACCCATAAAGCCATTGTCTCATAGTATAATAGAAGCTCGTCCTAGCATGTTGTAGCATCAGAGGTCCAAGCCACATGGACCCGAGCAGGAAAGACTGGAAGAAGAACGGAAAAGATTGGCAGAGGAGGAGGCGCGGTTGCTTTCCGACTACTGCCTACAGGGCCTACAGCAGATGTATCATGGTGGGGTGACGTCCCTGAGTTTTAGCAGGAGTGGAGAGATGTAGCGCATGAAAGAATGGCAGCAAAGTGCCTGGAAGAAACTGCAAGAGTATGTAAGATCAAGTGCAAGTGCCCATATTGTGAAGTAGAAGTAGTAGAAGGACTACATCGATTTGCTTTGTTCGGCACTGAAGTGCTTAAAAGAAGTCGAGCTTGAGCCTGTGCGATGGTGAGTGCTGCATGTTGGAAGGCTGCACGAGAACAAGCAAGAAGAGCTGCAGAAGAGGTGCTGCTGCAGGGATCGAATCTCCAACTTTGGGGAATTTACATGAATTTACGTGTTTGTGCTGATAGCCACATGGCATCCTGTGGGCATATGCTAGCAACGAAAAACACAATCAAAATGACTCCGGCATCCGGTGCAAGGTCTCATTTCTGTTCGAACTGCAAGACTGTGCAAATGCAAGTCACAATATTTCACCAGCGTTCCGCAGAACATGTTTTTTGTAGTGCTTTTTTACAGATTGCGGTCTCCTTTTCTTGCATCAGTTTCTGTGATTTTGCAGCGGAAAGCTGCAGTTTCGGCATGCATTCTGGAGGCACGACTGGAAGAAGAAAGGAGAAGACTGGCAGAGGAGGTTGGGCAGGGATCAGGGTGTGGGCTAGTAACTGGCAGCCAGTGACCACTGCAGATTGGCCCCAAGTAAAAGATTGTTTGAATTGTGGTGCCAAGGAATCAACCAAATTTGGTCGCTTTTAGTTTCAATTTTCAATAATCCATCATCAGGCTGCATAAGAATACGTAGTTTTAAAAAAAATGCAAGGGAATCAAGGGAAAATCAGGATCTGTTATTTGTAGTGCTTCCTCTGAGGCGGCACAAGAAGAAGCACGAAGGATTGCGGAAGAGGTGCTCCAACAGGGGGTTGGAACCAGAATCTAAAAGATTGCGGGCATCTCATGCGAGACCTGAAACCTTCAATCAACAAAGGCAACCCATAAAGCCATTGTCTCATAGTATAATAGAAGCTCGTCCTAGCATGTTGTAGCATCAGAGGTCCAAGCCACATGGACCCGAGCAGGAAAGACTGGAAGAAGAACGGAAAAGATTGGCAGAGGAGGAGGCGCGGTTGCTTTCGCACTACTGCCTACAGGGCCTACAGCAGATGTATCATGGTGGGGTGACGTCCCTGAGTTTTAGCAGGAGTGGAGAGATGTAGCGCATGAAAGAATGGCAGCAAAGTGCCTGGAAGAGACTGCAAGAGTATGTAAGATCAAGTGCAAGTGCCCATATTGTGAGGTAGAAGTAGTAGAAGGACTACATCGATTTGCTTTGTTCGGCACTGAAGTGTTTAAAAGAAGTCGAGCTTGAGCCTGTGCGATGGTGAGTGCTGCATGTTGGAAGGCTGCACGAGAACAAGCAAGAAGAGCTGCAGAAGAGGTGCTGCTGCAGGGATCGAATCTCCAACTTTGGGGAATTTACATGAATTTACGTGTTTGTGCTGATAGCCACATGGCATCCTGTGATATCCTGTGGGCATATGCTAGCAACGAAAAACACAATTAAAATAACTCCGGCATCCGGTGCAAGGTCTCATTTCTGTTCGAACTGCAAGACTGTGCAAATGCAAGTCACAATATTTCACCAGCGTTCCGCAGAACATGTTTTTTGTAGTTCTTTTTTACAGATTGCGGTCTCCTTTTCTTGCATCAGTTTCTGCGATTTTGCAGTGGAAAGCTGCAGTTCCGGCATGCATTCTGGAGGCACGACTGGAAGAAGAAAGGAGAAGACTGGCAGAGGAGGTTGGGCAGGGATCAGGGTGTGGGTTATAGTAATTGGCAGCCAGTGACCACAGCAGATTGGCCCCAAGTAAAAGATTGTTTGAATTGTGGTGCCAAGGGGTCAACCGAATTCAGTTGTTTTCAGTTTTGAGCCCATGGATTTTGATTGTTTTTGGGAGGTTGACGATTTTGACCCATATGCTAAGAGTATAAGAATGTTGGCAACATTTGGCAACGGAAAAATCAACATCTTATATTATTTATATCTATTTATAGTGTATGAAAGGGGGTCCGCCCCACAGTTTCTGAAAGCGACCCTGCTAAACTGCCATTGGGCCATCAACATGTGTTTTGGAAAGTCCGCACCTGATTTGGTCTTGACTGGAAAGACCAGATGCCGTCCGACCAGCTTGAGATGCCCTGGATTCTGAATACTGCATTTTCTCAGGCGGCACAAGAAGAAGCACGAAGGATTGCGGAAGAGGTGCTCCAACAGGGGGTTGGAACCAGAATCTAACAGATTGTGGGCATCTCATGCGAGACCTGAAACCTTCGACCAACAAAGGCAACCCATAAAGCCATAGTCTCATAGTACTATAGATATCTATAGCAGATACTATTGTAGAAACTCATCCTAGCGTAATGTAGCATTAGAGGTCCAAGCAACATGGTCCCTGAGCCCCCTATATAGTTTCTTTGGATGCCGTGCCATCCATGTCGCTCTATCCGTCGCTTGCGTTAGTTGCTGTGTTTTTGTACTTGAATCGCTTTCTTCAAGGAAAGACTGGAAGAAGAACGGAAAAGATTGGCAGAGGAGGAGGCGCGGTTGCTTTCCGACTTCAGCAGATGTGTCATGGTGGGGTGACGTCCCTGAGTTTTAGCAGGAGTGGGGAGATGTAGCGCATGAAAGAATGGTTGCAGTGCCTGGAAGAGATTGCAAGAGTATGTAAGATCAAGTGCAAGTGCCATATTGTGAAGTAGAAGTAGTAGAAGGACTACATCGATTTGCTTTGTTCGGCACTGAAGTGTTTAAAAGAAGTCGAGTTTGAGCCTGTGCGATGGTGAGAAAATCAGGATCTGTTATTTGTAGTGCTTCCTCTGAGGCGGCACAAGAAGAAGCACGAAGGATTGCGGAAGAGGTGCTCCAACAGGGGGTTGGAACCAGAATCTAACAGATTGTGGGCATCTCATGCGAGACCTGAAACCTTCAACCAACAAAGGCAACCCATAAAGCCATAGTCTCATAATACTATAGATATCTATAGCAGATACTATTGTAGAAACTCATCCTAGCGTAATGTAGCATTAGAGGTCCAAGCAACATGGTCCCTGAGCCCCCTATATAGTTTCTTTATGTTTCTTTGGATGCCGTGCCATGTCGCTCTATCCGTCGCTTGCGTTAGTTGCTGTGTTTTTGTACTTGAATTGCTTTCTTCAAGGAAAGACTGGAAGAAGAACGGAAAAGATTGGCAGAGGAGGAGGCGCAGTTGCTTTCCGACTTCTGCCTACAGGGCCTACAGCAGATGTGTCATGGTGGGGTGACGTCCCTGAGTTTTAGCAGGAGTGGGGAGATGTAGCGCATGAAAGAATGGCTGCAGTGCCTGGAAGAGATTGCAAGAGTATGTAAGATCAAGTGCAAGTGCCATATTGTGAAGTAGAAGTAGTAGAAGGACTACATCGATTTGCTTTGTTCGGCACTGAAGTGTTCAAAAGAAGTCGAGCTTGAGCCTGTGCGATGGTGAGTGCTGCATGTTGGAAGGCTGCACGAGAACAAGCAAGAAGAGCTGCAGAAGAGGTGCTGCTGCAGGGATCGAATCTCCAACTTTGGGGAATTTACATGAATTTACGTGTTTGTGCTGATAGCCACATGGCATCCTGTGATATCCTGTGGGCATATGCTAGCAACGAAAAACACAATTAAAATGACTCCGGCATCCGGTGCAAGGTCTCATTTATGTTCGAACTGCAAGACTGTGCAAATGCAAGTCACAATATTTCACCAGCGTTCCGCAGAACATGTTTTTTGTAGTTTTTTTTACAGATTGCGGTCTCCTTTTCTTGCATCAGTTTCTGTGATTTTGCAGTGGAAAGCTGCAGTTTCGGCATGCATTCTGGAGGCACGACTGGAAGAAGAAAGGAGAAGACTGGCAGAGGAGGTTGGGCAGGGATCAGGGTGTGGGTTATAGTAATTGGCAGCCAGTGATCACAGCAGATTGGCCCCAAGTAAAAGATTGTTCTTATTATGGTGCCAAGGAATCAACCAAATTTGGTCGCTTTTAGTTTCAAATTTCAATAATCCATCGACGTTGATTCATTTTGGGGGTTGACGATTTTGACCCAGATGCACATCAGGCTGCATAAGAATACGTAGTAAAAAAAATGCAAGGGAAAATCAGCATCTGTTATTTGTAGTGCTTCCTCTGAGGCGGCACAAGAAGAAGCACGAAGGATTGCGGAAGAGGTGCTCCAACAGGGGGTTGGAACCAGAATCTAAAGATTGTGGGCATCTCATGTGAGACCTGAAAGCTTCAATCAACAAAGGCAACCCATAAAGCCATTGTCTCATAGTACTATAATAGAAGCTCGTCCTAGCATGTTGTAGCATCAGCGGTCCAAGCAACATGGTCCCTGAGCCCCGGAGTTTCTTTGGATGCTTGCCATGTCGTCGTATCCGACGCGGGTTAGTTTCTGTGTTGTTTATGTCCGGATTGCTTTCTCCAAGGAAAGATTGGAAGAAGAACGGAGAAGATTGGCAGAGGAGGAGGCGCAGTTGCTTTCGGACTACTGCCTACAGCAGATTCATTATCGTGGGGTAACGTCCCTGAGTTTTAGCAGGAGGAAGTGAGGAGATATAGTTAGTGCGTGAAATACTGGCTGCAAAGTATTTAAAAAAATGCGGAAAAAAATGTAACAGGCGCAAGTACCATATTATGAAGGAGAAAGACTACATCGATTTGCTTTATTCGGCACTGAAGTGTTTAAAAGAAGTCGAGCTTGAGCCTGTGCGATGGTGAGTGCTGCCCGTTGGAAGGCTTCACGAGAACAAGCAAGAAGAGCTGCACAAGAGGTGCTGCAGGGATTGAATCTTTGGGGAATTTGCGTGTTTGTGCTGGTAACAGCCATACAACATCATAGCTGCGACAACAATGCAAGATTTGAACATTTTGTTGCGGGAACTGCAAGACTGTGGTAGATGCAAGTAAATTCAACTTTGACAGCGTATATTCATGCGCGTAAAAGCAGTATCGGAGGTCCAAATAGCATGGTGCAGAGTTTGTGGATTTACGATGATGTGCGTATATAGGTGTTCTTGACATCATTATCCAATATTATCCATATTATATATCTGTATCAAAAGATGTCATTTGGATGCTACCCAATTATACGCCCATGTCATAGCCATATGATCATATAATGATTTGTATGGTCCGCCACTGCATTGTGCCTGAAAGGGAATCCCTCCGGGAAGGCACTTCTGACGATTGCCTCACTGATTCTATTGGATCTACTAAGAATGCCAGATTCTAGAAGCAGCCTCTCCCAAAAACCAGGAATTAGAAGAGGTTTTTCTGCAGCTATGACGGCGTGATCACTTTTATATCATGACTCAAAGACATCAATGTTGATTCTGAGTTACTTGGCGGTCAGAAACAACAGCTGACCAGATTTTCTCGCAGGATATGGGCAAGGAGTTCTTCACTTCTCCAGCAAACACTCAGTCCCAAGCGCAGAGGGGGGGAGATGGTGAGAAAGAACGGATTGAGGAGGATTTTATTATATGTTATTTGGGCAGCTGTTGTTCTTCATTTCCTATTTATCCAATATAATCAATATATATATATAATCAATATATTTATATATTCCGAAGATTCCTATATGCTATCCACATCTATCCACTATAGCTTGGTTTACGCCATTTTGGAGCTGCGTTTTTCGAATCAGTTGAATCCGTGGCTGAGGACGGCTGAAGCTGCGCAATGTGTTGATTGCGATGCCAATAGGGCGCCTTGGATCGAGTCGTCGGCGTTCACTTCGACTGGTGCTGGATGGTGCTGGTTCTATACGAAATGGTGCTGGATGAGTGAAAAATGAGTTCAATGGGCACTCTATGGACTGGTGATCAATCCTATATTAGGGAAACACTAATGGAAACACAATTTTCATCAATAAGCAACCAGTGAGATGACCAGGGTTTTTTGGGCACTTCTGAACTGGGAGCTGTTCACATGTTGCTACTGTAGCAACTGATGTTTGGACAGGCACTGGAGGATACATCATCCATCATCATCCCCGGGCCACCGCGGATCAAGTCTGATCAACGGATGATTTTTTCAGGATATGCACTGTCGCTGTTGTGCAGTGTGCTTGACAAATTGCCGTGCATACTGCGTAATGATGCGTAATGTGGAGTTGAGAGTGTTTGCGCCAGGTAAACTTGAGAAGCGGATCAACACTGTATCAGTCAGTGTGTTGTTACTGCTTCAAGTAATGGTGACAGTTGCTGTTGTCTTGTCTCCCTTTATGAAGTGATGTGTTCAAAGAGGTATATGATGGTATATGTAGGGGTTCCCTGTATGTGGGTGTCCTTCCATGTTCCGAATCTCACGTGCAAGCCAACCACAGCGCAAGTCCAAACCAAGGTGTGCAGTGCATGTTCGCGTGCTCTTCAGGCTGCTCGACAGTTGATGCGACAGTTTATGCCCCTAAATTAAATGGGAGTTGTCAACATGAAAATGGAGGATTCCAATTCTTAACAAATGAATGCAATCAGTTCAGTCAGTTCAATCCTCAATTGTTGAGTCGGAATTGTCAAAGCGGAGGCTTTGATCGAACTGATTTGTAGCTAGTAGGCTACCTCTTGAGAATCGATGTCGACACTCTTCGACCAGAAGTGAGATTTTAATGATTTTAGCAGAGCAGATGGAAATTTTCCGGAAAGTTCTATAGCTTAATTCGTAGCCAGGTAGCCATGGAAATGTCTGAAATATCTTGAAATATCTTGAAATATCTTGATTTTCCTACCAAATGGATCCAAATGGTTTCCATTCTCAGCCTGCGAAGTCCTTTGCTGACGAGGTTTTTTGTGCCCTCGCCACCGGCACGAGGGAGGCCACTGGAATATCATGATCACCATTAAAATTGGACCATTTTATGCAATTTTAGTATCCACATGTATCCATCATGTTCAGAGATGAGTTTCATGTCTTCTTTTGAGGTTCGCATGACTCCCTCCATGTGACTCAACTTGATCTGTTGATCTTTTTTGTTGATCTAAAAAAAATCATTTGAATGTGTCAAGTTGACCACGTCAGGTGCCAGCCATCCGGACTGAGAATGTTTGGGACTGCGGAGGAGCCATGGGATGCTGCACTGCTGTGAGATGTCAGTTTCCTTCAGTGGAAAACGATGTGAAAACGCTTTGAAAGAACAAATGTTGGCTTATGTTGGCTGCAAGATTTCTCAGATGTGTCAGCTTTTGATAGCTTTTGGCTACGGATTCAATATGAAACGCACAAAAAAAACGACGCAGGCGGCGCCACTGATCGCGCTGATCCCTGCGGTCCCTGCGTTCCCTGTCCCTGCGTTTCCGAGTGGCCCACTGCGCTGGCAATGACCAGCTCAAACTGGGCGACTACCAGGACCTTCGGTGATGGCGAATCACGCTGATCGGGAAACTGTTGCCAAGATATACGAGTATACTCAGCAGATCTCAGCAGTTTGTGCTAGTCATATCTAGTCATTATTTTTTGCAATAGATCGATGTGTCTGAAAGGTGTGGTTTCTTACCTTCCTGCAGTTCGATGGTCCGCGTTCAAACGGTGTTGTGCCTGGCTTTGGGGTCACAATTTCAGCAGTGCCCCACTTGTGTCTTGCGTGTATAAATAGATGGATATAGAGTTCCACGTTATAATATCTTATAATCAATCATGTATATATATATATAGTATTATATATATACATAGTATTATAATATATACATATACACCCATATTGTACTACGGTGGGATCAACAGTATTAATGTATACAACTGATATAGCTATGGAGACCACAGTTGGCAGGACATCGCTCTTGGCGCTGGCAGCTCCACCAGGCGATGGTCGAGTTTTCCGTGCCAAAGAATGGCACAAATTCGTTTTGGTTAGATTTGCCATGTCGTATTTATGTATCATGTTATATAATTATATATATATATATATTTATATATATATATATACATAAATATACACAATATATGTGTATATATATATATATATTGTTTTTCATGATTGTTTACATACGACGGATATCTTGTCATGTATAGATGAAATATATATATATATACACATGTGAGCATTTGGGTGCCAAAATTCCCCAAACAGTGTGGCCACACTTGGGTTTCTTACGGTAAGCGTTAAGGCCCGCTGTTCATTCGAGATGGTATCATCCGTGTCCGGCAAATTTGGTAACCCTTACAGCACAAAAGTTTTCTGGTGAGATGTCCATGTGCATTTCGACTGCGCAGGCTCGCACAAACCGAGTGTCGCGGAGACCTCTCTTCCGAGGGTCTCGTTTTACTAGCGCCCCTTGCTCGTTTTTAAGCTACCCTCTGGTAAATTAACATAGCTATGGAAAATCACCATTTTTAATGGGTAAATCCACTATAAATGGCCATTTTCAATAGCTATGTTAAATTACCAGAGGGTATGTCCATTCTGTGTGGCAGGCGTGGCACTCGACATTTTCAGGTCTGGGACATCGGACACTTTTTCATGCGGCAAGCGTGGCACTTTCTGCACGTTGCTAAGATGCTTGGGAACCGTGGGTAAAATGAGGGGTGCTTTTGGAGGTCATTTTTCATGGCAGGCGCAGTGTTTGGTAAACTTGGACGATGCTTTGAAAGGGATGAAAAGCGCGTTTTGTGAAATTGTCGTCGGATTTGATTTGGGGCATGATGATGATGATGATGCATTTTTTGTGGCAGGCGCAGTAATTACTTCGTGGACCTTGACAAAAAAGTGGCTGCGACCCAGGTAAAACGTCGCTTTTGACTTTTTCAATGTTCATTTTTCGTGGTGCCAGCAGTGTTTTGTGAAAATCTAACATGTGCTCGCGCAACCGTCTCGTCACTATGTGCGTGTCGGATCGCTCTGGTTGCGGCACGGTGCTCATTTTGAGATGGCTCGCGCCCCACGCAACCCTCTCGTCACTTTGGGCCTGTCAGATCGCTCTCGTTGTGGCGTGGTGCTCATTTTGATAGTCAAGGAGATCTGGCGCAGAGATCTTGACAAGGAGGTCTTTTTTAGAGAGCTTGCGAAGAGATCTTGCCACGAAGACCTCTTTTAAAGATCTTGCACAGGGAACTCTTATAGACGTCTTGTACAGAGATCTTGCCAAGAGGCCTCTTACCGAGATCTTGCCGACAGAGCTCTTCTAGAGAGCTTGTACGAAGATCTTGCCAAGAGAGCTCTTTTAGAGATCTTGTATAGAGATCTTGCCAAGCGGTCCCTTACAGAGATTTTGCCAAGAGAGCTCTTCTAGAGAGTTTGTACAGAGATCTCTGAAACAGATCTTGCCAAGAGACCTGTTCTAGGGAATTTGTACAGAGAGCTTACCATGAGACCTCTTTAAGAGATCTTGTACAGAGACATTGCATAGAGATAGATCTGCTGAGATATTGCCAAGAGGTCTCTTACACAGATCTTGCCAAGAGGGCTCTTTTAAAGAGCTTCTACACAGATCTCATAAAAAGATCTTGCCCTTATAGGGAGCTTGCACAGAGATTTTGCCAAAAGACCTCTTTTAGAGATATGCACAGGGATCTTGCCAAGAGGTCTCTTACGAGATCGCGTCAACAGAGCTCTTACAGAGAACTTGTACAGAGTCCTGGTGAGGAGAGCAGATATCTTACTCAGACATCTTTTTTGTAGAGCTGAACAGATATTTTACTTTGAGATCTCTTACAGAGATCTTCTGTAGAGATATCTCATAGACACCTGCTACACATAGCCTTGCAAAGGGATCTTGCACGGCAGCTTGTGCAGAGAGCCTGTCAAGGAGATCTTGCGCACCATCTTCTACAGAGACCTTCACAAAGGGAATTTGCAGAATCTAACGCAGTATCTCTTCTTCCAGAGACCACCTTGAATGAACACGATTCTTCACTACTAGGGTCGCTCTTGTCCTAGCTTGGAGCCACTGGTGTTTTTGGGTCCTTTCCACCTGTCCTTTAAAATCCTACACACTGTTTGCGGTCTGCCGGGAGAATGGAAAACACTGTTTTGTTTTGTTGTTGTTGATCCCTGTTGGTTGCCTGCACCGTTGCATACCGTTGCGCAGGCGATCGAAAGGTGGAAGAACTGAAGTCACGCCAGCAGGAAGCTTGTTCAGCAGACAGAAGCCAAGCTCTCACGACGCAACCAGGCAGAAACCGCCAATGCTTGTTGTGGTTGCCATTGTAAGGACACTATAGAAATTCCCTGGGGACAAATGCTGGAGAGAGGCTGGAAGATGCTGGGAATTTCTCTTGGCAGTGCCGCAATCTTGAAGGCCAGTTGCAAACAAATCGCTTGTTTGATCCATTTTGTTGAAGGCGATCGGCAGCCAAGCTCAGAAAAGGCAAATGCTATGGAGAGTCTTGACAGCGGTTGCGCATGGTTTGCACTCTGCTGCACTGGACTGGGTGCAGAGAGGGTGTGGCAATTGTATGCAATTGGCATAGCCATCTGAAAGGCCTTCATCTTCAGCTTTGTCAGATCTGTTCTTCGACCAAGGACGCTAGAGAGCAGGGCATCGTCACCCGCCAAGTCCATGTTGAGATCTCAGGATGACATCTGCAGTTGCATAGGCCAGGTGGAAAAGCGTGTAAAGCGGCTTGATACTTCGATAATTTGGTGTGGCTCAACGAATTTGATTCTTGAAAAGACATGTCCTTGACTCGTTGCTAGTTCGAGGTTGAACAACACACGTTCACCATGGTCAGATCATCGAGAAGCGGTGGAAAGTCCTCGTTCGCTGCGGGGACAAGTGCTGGAGAGAGGCTGGAAGATGCTGGGAATTTCTCTTGGCAGTGCCGCAATGTTGAAGGCCAGTTGCAAACAAATCGCTTGTTTGATCCATTTTGTTGAAGGCGATTGGCAGCCAAGCTCAGAAAAGGCAAATGCTATGGAGAGTCTTGACAGCGGTTGCGCATGGTTTGCACTCTGCTGCACTGGACTGGGTGCAGAGAGGGTGTGGCAATTGTATGCAATTGGCATAGCCATCTGAAAGGCCTTCATCTTCAGCTTTGTCAGATCTGTTCTTCGACCAAGGACGCTAGAGAGCAGGGCATCGTCCCCCGCCAAGTCCATGTTGAGATCTCAGGATGACATCTGCAGTTGCATAGGCCAGGTGGAAAAGCGTGTAAAGCGGCTTGATACTTCGATAATTTGGTGTGGCTCAACGAATTTGATTCTTGAAAAGACATGTCCTTGACTCGTTGCTAGTTCGAGGTTGAACAACACACGTTCACCATGGTCAGATCATCGAGAAGCGGTGGAAAGTCCTCGTTCGCTGCGGGGACAAGTGCTGGAGAGAGGCTGGAAGATGCTGGGAATTTCTCTTGGCAGTGCCGCAATGTTGAAGGCCAGTTGCAAACAAATCGCTTGTTTGATCCATTTTGTTGAAGGCGATTGGCAGCCAAGCTCAGAAAAGGCAAATGCTATGGAGAGTCTTGACAGCGGTTGCGCATGGTTTGCACTCTGCTGCACTGGACTGGGTGCAGAGAGGGTGTGGCAATTGTATGCAATTGGCATAGCCATCTGAAAGGCCTTCATCTTCAGCTTTGTCAGATCTGTTCTTCGACCAAGGACGCTAGAGAGCAGGGCATCGTCACCCGCCAAGTCCATGTTGAGATCTCAGGGTATTTATGTTCAGCAAGTACCTTGTGACCCACGGGACAGTTTTTTTGTAATGCTGCAAACTACGTGCGTCAAGATAGACTGGTTGTTCATGGATGTAGTGCGATGCGATGCGGTATATAGTGCAATCGGATTTGGATCCGCGGGGGATGGGTTCGTGTGATGCGTTGCCTTGCGCATTTTTTTTAGCTCTTTCAATATACACATCTGAAACAGTGTATTTCAGAGACATATACTGTACATACAGAATAAATGTACGTATATACATTCATATATACTGTATGTATGTTTGTCTGCCTGTCTGCCTGCCTGTTTGTTTGTCTGTCTGTCTCTGTGTCTGTGTGTTTGTATGTCTGCGTGTGTGTATAGAATGTAATTCATGTCTTATAATGTAATTCATGTCTTATAAGTATGTATGCAACTAAGGTATGTTAATGTTAAAATATAATTTTGTATGAATGTAAATTAGTGCGTATTAATGTACATTAATGTACATTATTGTGTTTATTAATGTATATTAACGTATGAATGTAATTAATGTATGTATGTATGTATGTATGTATGCATGTATGCATGTATGCATGTATGCATGTATGCATGTATGTAGGCAAGTGGGTAGGTATGCATGTTTGTATGTATTGTGATGTAATGTGATGTGATGTAATTTAACGTAATGTCATGACATATCATGTCATGCAATGCATTGCAATGCAATAAAATGCAACGCAACGCAACGCAACGCAACGCAACGCAAGGCATGTATGTATGTATGTATGTATGTATGTATGTATGTGTGTATGTGTGTATGTGTGTATGTGGGTATGTGGGTATGTGTGTGTGCATGTGTATGTGTATGTGTATTGGTATGGTATGGTATGTATGTAAAAATGTATATTGCATTTTGTGATCTTATGATACGTTTGTCTATGTGAACCTGCGCGTACATAGATCCTTGGACACACTACATGGATGGAGAGGCCACGGTCCATTGCGGCGAATTTTTTGACCTTCCAGGCGCCTGTGTGTCCACCGTTGCAGTGAACCATGGTTTTATCCAGTGATTTGGTTCACCGGTGCCACGCCACAGGAATCGGAGCCACGTGTAGTTCCAGAGAGCTCCCAAGCTGCGCAATGAATTTTTGGCGTTTGGAGTCACTGCACACTGGTCTTTTCATGTAGTTTCATGTAGTTTCATGTAGTTTCATGTAGTTTCGTAGTTTCTGTTTGAAAATGGGATTGAAAGGCTCACGGATTTGGATCTTAATGGAGAACTTCAAGGGTTTCATTGGATTCTTGCATCCCCAGGTCCAAGACTCGTCCCCAGCCCGCTGAGTTCTCAGTTTGTGGACCCATCGCTCTGCCGTCTGCATTGAAGACGGAAAGTGTGGGAAAGAAACTACACCAAAAAGGATGTACAATGATGTATAGAGGTCAGACTTTGATTGTTTTGCTGATCATTTTTTTTTAGTTGCTAGATGATTGAAGTGTTTTGTCAGGCATGTGCACCCAAGTAGCCCCCGCCCCATGGATATCACCCACCTTGCCGAACTGCAGGGTCAATTCATCCGCAAGGAGCTTAGAACGCTTAGAACGGGCGAAGTCAGATGAAATCAGTCTTGACTTGTCCGAAAACCCACAGAGAATCACTGTTACTGTTGAGTCCAAAGGGTTATGGTACCATAACTGGCATGTCAACTAGCCAACATAGATAGAAGATGTCTAGATTCGCTCAAAATGATTGAGCATTTCAATCCCCAAAACTGGATTGTGAAGTGCTAAAAGGGAGTAAATCATATTAACTTTATATTATATGTGTATATATAGTATGATATAATCATAGTGAAACATACTTAAACCATCTTGAACCACATAAAAAAGGCATATGGAAAATCTCTAGATTCTTCTAGTGCTGCTTGAGCCTCCAGCTGAGGTGGTGGCACGACGACTGCGACAAAAGGTCTATGGACTTCGAGGCGTCGGTGTGGCGATTTCTGCTTGGAAGGTTGTGTCATACCTTGTATGTATGTCATTTTTATGTGATAGCCCCTAAGTTTGCCATCAGTGTTGTGCAAACGTGTGGTGAGCAATGGGATGTTTCCAAATTTGTGGATTTTCTGTGAACCCGGAGTTTCCGAGATTGTGCAAATGATAGTAGATGCAGAAAAGACATAAGAAATCTCAATGATCCCCCAAATGACGCCTCGAATCTTGCTTTTGGATGCTGAAATGGGCCAAAAAAATCTCATGCGGTGGGAAAATTCATCCGCGTTCCAGGATCAGCGAGTGCCAAGGACGGGCCATGGATGGCACCTCAGGGCCCTATCATGGACACAGAACGGTTTTTTTGACGCTTAATAATGGGTAACAATGGCTCGTAGTGGTTAGTAATTAATAACGGTTTAAGTATATATATATATTATGTGTACATATATATATATATTATGTATATATATATATAATTATATATATATATTATGTATATATATATATTCCCATCCCCCTAGATTGTACCAGATATCTGTAAATCCTCGGGAAAAAACTATGGTGCCTTGGGGGTACCAACATCGTTCAACATCCACCAACATGCACCCGCGATGACGCAGGGACTTTCAGCTGTGGAAGCCGAAGCAGAGGTGCGAGGATATGCCATGGCTCTTCTGCACAGTTATGCTTAGGGAATCAAATATTCACGGAAAAACATGGCAAAAGCTGGGTGATGAACAACATGATGGGGATATTTTACCAACAGCAATGCTGTACACAACTGGTTGGTGGGTTAAGATATGTTTATATACCCTCTGGTAAACTAACATAGCTATTGAAAATTGCCATTTATAGTGAGTTTTCCCATTAAAAATGGTGATTTTCCATTGCTATGTTAGTTTACCAGAGATACATTCCATTTGAGATGACCAGGATTAGCAAATCTTGGATGGGTAGATACCAGCCGATGCTGTGAGGTGCAGGGAGCGTCACCAGAGGGGTTAGTTTCTGTCAGAAACTGAGGAAAGCAGAAGCAGATGGGATGAAAATGTGGTAGTAATCCCCAAAATATGGGTTTTCAGTCAAAAATAGGGTACCCCAAAATGTCCTGGTTCATAGAGGTCTGACTGAAAATGAATTATTTGATGAGTTTGAATGAGTTTGATGGAGATTCTCCGAGGCCACGGATTTTTTCAAAAATATGTTTGATCACATCGCTGCCATATGTGGCACCAGAATCAGCGCAGCTAGGTCCATTTCCCCATGCGCAAAAGGCACCATGGCAAAGCAGTGAAGGCTTGGGCTTGGAATCCGAGCGAATGAGTCTGAGTAGATTGGGTGTTCACATCCTGACAAGGGATTCTCCCCAGATGTTGCGAGTATAAAAATGGCGACATGACTCACATGCCATATATGGATGGCATATATGGATGAAGCTGCGAGTTCAAACGGATGCTGCACGAAATATCGCTGTCAGGGGCGTTTTGAGAAGACATGGCAGAGGACACAGGTGCTCACGGTGCTCACTATGCAAAAGTGAAAACAATGTGTTTGACAATTTCACCGTCGAAATGTGGAGAGGTCCCCAGACTGCATGAGGCAAAGCTTGCTCAGCGGCATGGGAAAACCTTTGAATGGCCTGACCTTTGTCTCGCAGACATGTGTTCAAAAGCGATTCAGGGGCTTGTGTTCTGGAGGAGGTTGTTAGTTGGACACCTTTGCTGAACTCCAATTGTGAACGAAGGGGCTGGATTTTCTTCACTGGTTTCCGTGTTGGTCACATGTATCACATGTATCACACGGCACAACACAACAAAAAAAATATGATACCTTCACTTGAGTTGAGTCGAAGATTGAAGCGAATCTTTTCTCACCATTCCTATCATTCCTGCTCCAGTGGTCAACATTGGTCAACTTGTCTCGGGGCGAAATTGCCAGGCATATCCTCGTGCATCGAAGGACTTGACGGGGCTCCTGCATTCAACTTAGGCGGCTGGGCCTCTTTAAAAAAACCTCCATGGCGGTCATGGTGTTGGAATTGCAGCAGACACACTGAAATCTATTGCTTCTATGTTAGCTTCTATGTTTAATTCTACATTGAAATGAGAAAACAATAAGAAATTATATATAAGAAATTATATATATATATAGTCAACATTAGTCAACATTAAATTAATTATCTAATCTATATGTAGATTTTTTTGAATAATATACATGCAGTTGTTTTATTTACACCGCCTCTGCCTCTGCCCAGCTTGGGGTGCCAGCGACTTGACCCGACATCATGCCATCAGCCGTCAGCCTGACCTGATTGTTTTCCCACCGGACCGCGACGTGGGTGCCTGACCCGGTCATCCGGTTTAAGGAGGAGAAAAACGGATGGAGATCTCACAGAAATATACACCGAAATAGAGAGAGAGAGACATATATATATTATATTGAGTATCTAAGTTGTGTATCTACAATATTCCTCGATTCGAAGTTGCATTGTATCAATTGCCTGGATGTAACTAGTGGTGTCAACATATCGGTGTCATTGTCCTTAGCAACATCCAGAACATAGGTGCTACTGGTAAGGCGGCTGGACGACCACTGGACTCAAACTCACCGATGAAATGGCGCTGAAAATGGTCTGACATTGAAATTCAATGAATGTCTAGATAGCTGATTTTGATTTATGATGATTTATTGGCTGGTGGTTTCAAACATGTTTTATTTTCCATAATATATGGGATAATCCTTCCCATTGACTAATATTTTTCAAGATGGTTAAAACATGTTAAAACAACCAACCAGTTTATGTACAAATCCGCAAGTGTTACTGGTATCACTTCTACATCGGTGTGGAGCGTTGTTTGCCAGGTTTGGAGCTCCAATGTATGCCCTTGGCTGCACATGATGTGACTGTGGCTGCGGACCCCAGCAGAGGTCAAAACATCGGTCTTGAGGATTTGCAACGGCTGATATTATACACACATATATTGATATAATATATATTATATATAATATAATTAATATAATATGATATAATATATAATATACAATATATAATATACAATATATAATATGTAATATATAATATATATTATATATATTATATATTATATATATTATATATATAATTATAATATATATATATATTATAATATATTAATTATATTATATATATATATGAATATATATATATAGTTTCATATAGTTAAATACAAATATGTGTATATATATATATATAATGATATATATATATGTATTTATACATTATGCGTATAGTTTGTTGATGTTTCACCTAGTCTCACCACGCCCGAGGCCTTCAGCGACTTGTCCTGGCAGAGCCTTTGCAGTGCCGGCGTGGGACAGGCGTGGATCCCCAAGGATTGGGGTCGGGTGGTTAGTTTATTGAAAAAAATGTTTAAATGGAGGATTTGGGGGTACCCCATTCTAGGAAACCTCCATATGTATATTATATATATATATGGAATATGGATTAATATGTAATGTTTGAAGAATTACATGTAATATGGAATGTTTAAAGAATCCTCACTCAAATGGGAATGTGTTGGAAAATCCCATCATGTTCTATCTATTCCAGGATGATTGTAGATAATGGTATGTATAATGATTTACAAAAACGAAAATGTAACCAATAAATAAGATATGAAGAATGGAGAATTGGAACAATGTGGGATTCTCCCTGGCTGACATAAACCTACCATTGGGGGGATGGTTTATACCCTGATATCGTGGTTTGGGGATGGTTTAGGGCATGGTTTAGGGTTTAGGTTTTATCTGAGTTATGTGAACATATGTGAACAACTACCAAGCTAAGAAAATACCTGGTGATAAGCCGCACAGATTTGGCGATGGTTTTTTCCCCTTCTTGGAGCTCTCGGGGAGTCGCGGACAAGTGGATCCACCAACGCAACACGCCTCAGGTGCTCTATGCCATCGGCCCCCCAACTCTCTTTGCGTCCGTGGAGAAATGCGTCACTTGGCTGGGTGTCATCCTCTGGTCATCCATCAACAGTATTACCTGGTACAAGAAAACAGACCCTGAAAATCACCAGGGTTTAGTGGAAATTCGTCTTCCAAGCCCGATGACTGCCAGGGTCGAACTGTTAATTTACTGGGTATATCCTGTTGATTGTTCCACAAGATCCCATGAGGCCGATACCTCATTGGTCAGGATGTTTGACCACTGAGGTGCAAAGATTTCCTGCTCACGTTGGCCATGCGCAAGCGCCGGCTCGAGCAACTCGAACCGCAACGCGTGACGTCTTGGTAAACTGTGTCCAGAAGCTTCAATGTTGGTGCAATTTTACACATGTGTATCCAAATTCTTGATCTTTTTGAATCTTTTTTAAACTGTATTAGTGTTCCAGTTTTGTTTACCATCTGGTTATGACTACCATAAATTCCATAAAAAATCATCAGCCATTAAAAAAAGTTCGGTAAACCATCTATTTCTATGGCATGGGTCATCTATCCCATTGGCCAACTGTTCGTCATCCCAAATTGAGGCATCCCCCAGAGGGGATGATCCATCGCCAGCAGGTCTACCTCACCGGCCTGGCTGCGGGCCATTCGGTGGCCTTGCGGCTTCGTGCATGGCAACGGCAAGAGAAGAGCTGGAGCGCCTTTGGAAACGTTCCATGGCAGCTGTGTAGCTGTTGAATTACCCTCTGGTTATGACTAACATAGCCATGGAAAGATCCACCATTTTATAGCTAGGTAAACCATCTATTTCTATGGGCCATTTCCCATGGCTATGTTAAATAACCAGAGGGTACCTGTTGAATCTTGTTGAGAATCCTCTTTGAAACTGCGAAACGATGTGAAATAGGGGAAATTTTGGGATGTTTTTTCTCATCTCCGAAAACACATGAAAACAAAAGGTCTTGGTCATTGTTCTGCCATCCGACAACGAAGGTTGCCGCCTTACTGCTTCCAGTGTGTCTTCCCACTTTTCCCACCACTCATGAAATGTTTCAAAGCCAGGGATATGGTGACATTTGATGACTTTAGAGGCAGTCGAAGGAATTGCTGATGTCCTTCAGATGCACCCTCACCATCACCATCCCTGATCCCCACAGTATTACAGACTTTTCGGATTTGATGAGATTTAATGACAAGTAGCACCTTTCTCGGGGCTGCTTCAGGCGCAGGAGTTGAAGTTTCTCAGCTCCTTTCGAGCATTCGAGTGGCTCAGTCGCAATGCCCCAGGGCCCCAGGTCATCTTGGGGGTATCCCACCAAATCAGTCCAAAGTTATATGTCCAAACTCCAAACATCATCAACATCTTAAACATCATCAACATCTTCAACATCTTAAACATCTCTAAGATCTCTAAGATCCCTCTTTAATTGGCCTTGTCACATCCCCAAACTTCGTTCCAAGCTTCACTGATTTCACCAGGCGACAGCTCATCCTGGTGGGCCCTAGGCGGCGGAACGCTGCAGGATTCATGCTGAAGATGCTGAATACTCTAATATATTCTAATAATTTCTAATATACTCTGATGTGAAACGTTTTTGATGGTTTTGAATGATTGTGATTTGAAACGGAATTCTTGGACCTTGAACATATCCTGATCTAGTAAGGAAAACATGTAGCACCCACAGGAATTGTGGAAAATGATTCTTCGAAAAGGCAGGAATAGCCTGCCCGTTGCTGACAAAGTCGCAGCTGTAGACTGTTGATACGACCAGTGACAGTCAACGACTGTTCAACGTGATCAGAATAATCTAGGACAGTCCATTCCTGTGTTCTACCGCTAAAGCGAGTGGTGGACAAAAACTTCGCGAGTGGCCGCTATTGTGTGAAATCAGAGGCTACAGAGTCGTCAGAGTTGAAGATGAACAGCAGCAGCAGTACCTCCTTGGATTGGTAGGTTCTGACTTCGGCGTCCCATGACTGAAAAGTCACGTTTGGTTTGTTAAAACTTTGGGGCTCAAGGGTCAAACTAAACTAATCGCAGCAACCCTACGGCTGGGCCGCACTTTTGGGCTGCTCGGTTGCACTTGGATCAGGAATTAATACACACGAAGAAGCTGACAAGGATGAAAATGGTATGATGGCAAACTCACAACCCTTGTATTTGAACAGTTTTGTAGTTTTGGACTCATTTTGATATGAAAAATACTGTAGCTTGAACATGTTTGATGATGAGTCTCGAACTAGTTTTCAATGCCTGGGGCCAGTGCAGATCGGTGCAGGAAGCTAATACCTTGCCTTCACCCGTTGCGAATGGATCCAATTACGTTGCACTTCAATATTTTCCAGGCTCGCATGACTGCAAGGGGGGTGCCTGGAGGTATGGGAAGAGAAAGTCCAGGGGCAGAATTCATGTTGGGAAATCTAGTGCTTTGTCACTCAAAGTTTCAAGACATTTATGCGACAATGCTTTTACATGCTTTTACAGGGAAATATGTTCAATTTTCCCCGGAATTTTTTAATTTCCATCCCAGGCAGGCGAGCAAGAAAGCCAGCCAGCCAGCCACCGACCCAGCAAGCCAGCCACAGCCAGCCACAGCCAGCAAGCAAGCAAGCCAGCCTAAACGAACCCTAAATATACACGTTAAACCTACCCTAAGCAACGCGTAAACCACCCTTGAATAAACAGCCTGAACCAACCTTAAATAAGTATGAATCAACACCTTAAACCGACCTTGAATAAACCCAAAGGCCAGCCTTAAAAGCAACCTTAAATCGCCAAATAAACCCCAAATACACCATAAACCACCCGTAAATAAAGACCCTAAATGAAACATAAACCAACCCCAACTAATTCCCTCAACTTTTAAACAAGATTGAGCAAGCATTTAATAAACCTGCCCTCGTTTAATGTTCGAACCAGCCCTAAAAAATCCTGAAGCCAACTTTAAACACACCCCTAAACCAACCTTAAATAAATCCTAAACCTAAACCAACCCAAAAACAAACCCTAAATAAACCCTAAACAAAAAAATGAACCAATCCTAAATCAACCTCAAACATCCTCGAAAGAAACGCCACCAAATTGAAAGAAACCTTACGAAACCTAAAAAAATAATTAAGCCGAGCTGGAAAAAAAACATAAAGCAACGCTAAAGAATTGTAAATCAACATTGCAAAAACAACCTAGACTAACCCGAAATGAACTAAAATACAATCTATATATATATAACTAAACTTAAACCAACCCTGAATAGATAGATGCCCGAAACCAAGCCAAAATAAAAAATCCTAAACCAACTAGAATAAAGCCCCAAAAAACATTTCAGAGCTGTAAGCCAAACCCAATCAGCCGTAAACCAACCTTAAACACAAATCAAACCTTAAATAATTGTTGCAACCACCATGCAGAGGCAACAGTTTTGCCACCTCCGGGATCTGAGTTTCTTGGTAAAAGGCAGTGCATTAGGGGTGCCACAGTCAATCCGAACAAAATTCCCCAGGAAATTGAACAAAATTCCCCGGGGCAACTTATGGCAACTTGTACCACGCACGTTTTGTATCTTTTCGTACTATAGAATTTGCTACGTGGATGGTGTTTTTTTTGTGGCATTAATATGACGACGCTGCTGAGCTACATCGGGTGACCAGCTCGCTGGCGGATCTGATTTTTTCAGGTTGGAAAGATTTCCGCTCATCATATCTCTGATTTCCTCCTGTGGGTGTTCATCAGATGGATCAGAAGATTGCGTTGCAAGCAAGCAGTATCAGCTATTGATATCAATACATGTGTTATAGTATCTACAATATGTCATTGGATCAGAGTATAGAAAGTCTGTATCTTACTATTATATATTATTACATGTGTATATCTATCTATGTATATAATTGTATATACATATGATTGTCTCTACATTGGAACAATATATATATATATGTATATACGTATATATATATATACATTATATATATACATATATATATACATATATATATATACATATATATATATATACACAATATACTATATAGTATCTACAAAATGAAGTGTTCCAAGAAAGTCACGTCGTCACTGACGAAAACCAGGCTGGCACTTCATCTCAAGGTCGCCGAAAGCTCAGATCCGTCGCACGGGTAGGGCTCGAAAATCATCGTTTCATCATCGAAGGGATCCAGATGTTTCCCCAATTTCATCTACATCCAATGAGTTCAGGTTGATATTTAGAATGTTTCGAATCTACGTCCATGATTAGAAAATCTCAGTTGGTATTTAGAATATTAAACATCCACTGAATTCCACATCCATTGAATTCCAGTATCCACGATGTAGATGATTTAGATCCAGTGGAATAGATTGAATCCATGATTGATGGATTTTTGTCAATGACCCCAGGCAACAACACATTGGAGCCATTGGACACCCGCAAAGTTTTTTTCGCCAAGGCCAGAGTTTTCAGGTGGACGACCCGCAAAGTAAGACCGTCGGTGCTTTGAAGCAGCAGCTTTTTGCCGATGCGTTAAAGGTGCCACGTCGTGCGGGCTGCACGATGCCCCAACTCTAGTGATGCATGTGATATCATGTATTATGGAACAAGAAAAAAATGAAATGGTCAATGATGGTTAATGATGGTTAATGATGGTTAATGATGGTTAGTGATGACTATTTCATTGATATATCATAAGCATTCATTAGCCAACTGTAGTGATACAATGTGATACAATGTGATACAATGTGATACAATGTGATACATATCATTTGCAATTCATGTGCTATTCAATGATACCCTGCCAACTACCAGTGGAGGCGCAGAGATTTGTCCGCTTCATTGCTGGCGGACGGATTTTGGAGGAGCAGATAGCGGCAAAGTCGAATCCTTAAGATCTACCCTCCGGTAATGACTGTTCCAGTTTGCGAACTTGAAACCATGGCCCAGTCGAAATAGTGGATTTACCCATTAATAGATATTAATAGCATGGTGGATCTTTCCATAGTTATGTTAGTATGTTTACCAGAGGGTAAATATATAAAATAGCGATAAAATATATACTTAACCCGGCATTGTTGCGGGGTGCTATAAAGCTGACTGCTTCTTGCTCGATCTTATCATAAGAATGTTGACTCTCAGCATGAAAGCCATGAATTCCGGTAGATATTTGACATTTTTGACCATCAACAGCAATGATTCCAATATGGAATTCCAATGAATTCCATGAATTCCGTTCCACCGTTCCACCCCCCCATATTATCATATTCCAATGGTTCCATAAGGGTTCCATAAGGGTTCCATAAGGGTTCCATAAGGGTTCCATAAGGGTTCCATAAGGGTTCCATAAGGGTTCCATAAGGGTTCCATAATGAACCTCAGTGAGGACACCTCCTCTCTGGACAAGTGCAACCTCGGTCGGATCCAGAGATCCAGAAGCCATCACTGAGTGTTACAAAAAATGTGTAGATAATACGTATACTGTATATATATATGGATATATAATTATATATATAATGATGTATGGTCCAGAGCCATACTGGTAGACACCTCTCGATTGCTCTATCTTCGAATTTTTCCAACCAAAGACCCGCCGACTTCAACCTTCAACACGCGCGGGTCGTCGCGGATCTAAGGTCCAGAATCTCACATCCACGTGTCCATCAGCGGCAAGTCGCAGCCCCTCGGTCACAGAATCGGGCCCTGGATTTTCGGTTGCGGTAAGCAATGGATGCCTGGATACGGCTGGAAATCGCATTTTGGGGACAAGCCATGTCAAGAGCGTGCCAAACCTTGCGGATGGCATTACAAAAATCTCAATTTATGAGTGTCCAATAGAGACTATATCATACTATATCCCACTATATCCCATTTCCGGCAACTTCTGGACCCACACACACACTTGCTCACTTTTTGGACGAACACAGATGCTGCCAACCCTGAGAGCCGCACCAGGAATGGAGCACAAACTATGCCATCTGCAGCTGTTGCGCAGGCATGGCATAACTCTTGCCGGAGATCGCGGACTTCCTCCATCCGCCTCAACTGCTGATTCAAGCGATGTTTGACTCACCAACAGGGGGAGAAATATCAGGAGCCAGGTGACATGAAAATTATGCGGCCGATTAAGGGACTTCACACTACGGTCTTATTGAATTTATCAAGAACATGAAGGCCTCCCAATTGTTTCCAGTATTCCTCCAGTATTCCCAGACAATCTGAGTTTTGCTCGCAGCTTGGCAGGCACAGACTTCGCAAGTGGAGCGCGACTCTGACTTGCAGGAGTGACGCTGCGACTCGTGCTTACAGATCAGCGGAGAAAATTGATTCTGAGAGATGTGTTGAACTGGCTATGGAACCATTTTTGTTGACCTCATTTTCGGATGCGAAAGAATAATGGTAATAGATATTAAAAGTGAGTCATCCATTACCAGAATGATCAACCATAATACGCTCCATCATGGTACTGTTTATGGGTCCATGGGCAACTGAATTTTGAGCATTGACAGCATAGGCTTTCCCTGGCACGGAGGCGTGGCACTTGTGCAGAAGATTAGCGAGCTTCCTTGCGATGGTAGGCAAAGGGTCGCCTCTCGTAGTTATGTTTTTTAAGGAGCTGAGGCCAAACTTCATTGGTTTATTGGGGGTGTGCATATTATACTTCGTCTGTTTAGACTGCCCTTGATCTTACCAATTGGGATCCAATTTCGGCCGTGTAGCTGTGAGAAAGAATGAAGCTGGCCACTGAATCGGGCCCTCGTGAAATTCGGTGTGTGAACATGAAAGACATCCTGTCAAGTTTGATGGCTGCAGTCACGGTTGCAGCAGCGTTTGCAGGCTCCGCAATGGTCTTTCCTTATGCACTGCAAAAGCATCGGCACTCGTCCTCAAACACGTGTCAGTGGCATGTTCGTTTGATGTCTTCGGCGATGCATTTGGGGAGTTTCTGTCGGCAGAACCAACGAAGATCGTTCGCTAAAAGCAGTTGCCACAGATTTTGCGGATAGCAGTGCTGCAGTCAGAAGCCAATATGCATGTGGTGAATTTTTGCCCAAACGATCCAGACATACTTAAATGGGCAGGTTTCATTGAGGTGCATTCAGGAAAAGCGCTCAATGCACATTGGTTTGCAAACCGTGCGTATGCATTCAAAGTCCTGAGTCACTTGCGGCAGTAAATTGGCTCTCAAAAGCGAGGACACCAACAAATGATGACAAATGAATGGAAATAGTTTGCACCAACTATGGAATCAATGGGAAATGGCAACGGAGCATGGATTTGAAACAAGCATACTAAGCAGGAGTACGGAATAAGTCGAATATGCTACGGAAATAAACAGGGAGAACAGCAGATATCACGAAAAACAAATAGGAAGTGAATCGAAAAGATTATGGGAACTGAATTGGGAACAGACTTGAAATAGATGGCCAGCACATGGGCAAGTGGGGAATCACTGCGCGTAAAAAACTGCTGGAGTTTCTACTGTTGCCAGGCATTTGTTGGTGTGCATTGCCGCAGCAGTTGCGCTCCCAGAGTGAGACTCCGTAAGTTACGATCAGCAAACTGAATCAGACATAGACAATTCTTAAATGCCATTGACGTTTAAGGATATGGCAACAGAAGCTCCACCATGTCTTGAAATGTGGGTTTTTCATTGTTTTTCGACTTTTAGACACCGTGTCTGCGTCATGGAGCTTGTGCTTTCCTTGTGCTACTGCAAGGTTTGGGTCTATTTGCTCATCTCCCATACGATGCCAGACGCAGCGCAGGCGTTTGAAAGAGTTCCAGCTACGTGCAGTCGGTTCTTTGGAACCAATGACTTTGGGCAAGAAGTTTGGGACATTTTGGGGCGAACGTCAAAAAACATCAAAAAAGTTTTTTTAAAAACTGGAAAACGATCAGTCTTCCCCCTTTCCTGTTTTGCGACTCCTACACATTCAGAATCTTTCGTCAAATAAGTTTTGCCTAGCTGCCTAGCTCAGCCGAGTGAAAACATGTGAAAACTCAACGTTGATCAATGCTGGTCACAAAGGGCGCCTTCACAAAGTCCGCTAGCTCAGATCATTGTGGCTGCTGCACGTTGGGCATTGTGCAAATCCCAAGAGATGCGATGCATGGCTGCACCATGGGATCAGATGCCTCCATGTCGTACTCATGAGGCATCTCCTTAGGCTTGAACAGCTGTCAAAGCGGAGAATTTTGGATTAATTTTGGAGAATATTGCTTTACCATGTTTTACCCTATATTCCTGGTTCCATAAACAGGTTTGGAACAAAAAAATGTCCATAAACATCGCTCAACAACAACTGTTCCAAAACAGTGTTGTTTGGTGACATCGTTTGTTCCCTTCGGACCTCGGACCTTTTGATTTGAGCCACAAGGATCTAGCGATGGTGGAAGGCCGGTGCGTGAAATCCGCTGAGAACTGTAGACTCAACCTGAGTCACTAGAGGTTTCAACAATGGAGGTAGCTACCATATAAGGCCTATGTAACAGTACCTCCATTTTAGGATCCTGGAATTCCCATTGATTTCAACATTGAAAATGTGAAAAACAACGTATTTCTTCTGATGTTTAGGCCTATGTAATAGTACCTCCATTTTAGGATCCTGGAATTCCCATTGATTTCAACATTGAAAATGTGAAAAACAACGTATTTCTTCTGATGTTTGAGCCAGTGTGCCCTTGGGCTCAACCTTCCTGGCCCAGCTTTCTCTGTTTCATGTTGGCTGGGACTTGGGGTGAGCTGAAAAAGTTCATAGAATAAACTATAGACATCTATAGACTATACTATCGTATATTTAGAAAGATGTAATATTTGTAGCATATGTACTCAGAACCAAACAGATCTTGGACGTACGAATGCAGACCTAACATTGAGATAAATCAAGAGAGAAAGAGGGAGAGATTTATATCATTGTAATATAAGTTTAAATCATTTTATAGATGTAATATCATGTAATATCAGATAATATCATATAATATCATATAATATCATAAAATATTATCATGTACTATCATGTAATATCATGTAATATCATGTAATATCATGTAATATCAGGTAATATCATGCAATATATCATATAATATCGTGTAATATAGACATAGAGCTACTGTGTAGGTGTCCCTTGATGAGGGAATGGCCACAGGCACTGCACGAAGCTGAGCGACCTGACTCTATCGTCCAGGAGGTGCCAGTTATGTGAAGATGGGATGGCAAAATGATCGGATAGATGGTATAGGTGAGATAGGTGGGATAGATGGGATAGATAAGATTATAATATAATATATATATATAATAGATTGATATGATTATATAATAGATTGATATGATTATATAATAGATAGAAAATCAAATAGATAGATAAGATAAAATAGATAGATAAGATTAATAGATAGAATGATTTAATATATGTCATGTGACGGCAAAATGACGTTATATGATGTTGACACATGCACATGTATGAAAGCAAAATTTATTCAAGAAGGCTGAATAAACTGGGAATTCAGGTGACAAGAACGGGATGAGAACAAGCCATTCTCAGGTGATGTGCACCTGGGATCAGGGAGTGATCATTAGAAGACTGTCCTTCGATAGGACAGGAAAGCCATGAAATCATCGCTGGAATAGCATCCCTCATCTTCCCCTTTAAGGCCCTTTGGGTATGTCTATGGCAGTGTCTGAAAATGTGGTATACCGGTATACCCCCAGCCAAATGGCCTATTTCAATAGGGAAAATGATATTCCAACATGATGTGAAAATCCGATGGAATTGGGGATATCTTCAGGGATATCCCATGGACAAAGCCACATAAGGTTTCAATCTGTTGACGCCTCATCTTCTTGCCATCTTCGCCAGGTCCCCTGCATCCACTGCACCCAAAGAAGAGTGACAAACGTCACAGATTGTTTTGGTTGCAGTGCTGCGACAGGAGACTTGCGATTCGCTTAGTGGCTTACTTTTAAAAAAAACTATTGAAATAGTTCTGTTGCTGAAAGCAGCCCTTAACAACATCCAATGTTTGAAGATGCCAGAAGATGCAGGTCCAAGAGCACGTCTCCATCCCTTGAACTATATCTCCTCCCTTTGTTGGGGAGCTGGACATGCTCATTCCTGAGGAATTCTGACGTGGGAAACTTCAGAGATGACTCATGCAGAGGTACACTACTTGCTATTGGTTGAGGACGGTATTTATGATTCAACGGTATTTAACATTATTTAACCATATTTAACCAGTATCTCAAGCTGCTGCGTTGCTGTCTACCACGTCTCTACCTGCTATGGCGGGCACAGCGCCTGCGCGGAGCAGACAAAGCTCTAAGCGCGGCCAACAAGGCGTTGAGAAACGTGCTCTGTCCGCCTCAATCTGTGCAGTGGCTGGGCTTTTGTTCCCAAAAAACCGCTGGGACCAGCGACCAGAAACAAATGGCCCGCCTTTTCTACTGTATTTGCTATGTCTATTCTTGAAATCTGTTATTAGCTTTGAAGCCTTTGAGCCAAGTTTGTTTCAACGTGTATGACCTCCGTTATCCTTCCTCAATGGCATCTATTATTCTGTATTATTATATATGATTATATATTATTATATATTATTATATATTATTATATATTATTATATATTATTATATATTATTATATATTATTATATATGATTATATATGATTATATATTATTATATATTATTATATATTAT